ACGGCAACGGAAGGTAGAAGAAGGGGGGGGGGGGAGAGTTAATTGGTTGTTAGCGTAGTTACTGACATTACTATTATTAGTTTTTTTCCTGATAGCTACTGCGACTGTTAGTTGTTGGTATTCATATTCCTGAGGGTTATTTCTGGTTCTGCTGGTATGTCCTTGGTTCGTTACGTTTTTTTTCTGTTCATATTCCCTTGGTTTGTTATTACTACAGGTAATAGTCACTAGGATCAATGCTGTGTGTGTGGATGTTTCCGGGGGTTGTTGTTGTAATTGTTGGTATTCCATGGGGTTGTTATTTCATGGGGTTGTTATTGTTGGTATTTGATGAGGTTGTTGTTATTGTCATGGGGTTGTTATTGTTGTTGTTTATTTCATGGGGTTGTTTATTGTTGGTATTTATGATGGGCATGGGGTTATTGTTGTTATTTCATGGGGTTATTGTTGGTATTCGGGTTGCATTTGTTGCTGTTATTTCATGGGGTTCTTGTTGGTATTTCATGGGGTTCTTGTTATTCCATGGGGTTCTTGGTGGTATTTCATGGGGTCATTACTGTTATTGTTGGTATTTGCTGGGATTGTGATTGCAGAAATGTATGTATTTCTGACGAGGATATATTCGAAACCGGACAAATACATCTTTTGTATCGTGAAGGAATTCAGTTTCATTCATACCTTGTCTACATCTGTCAACATGAATAGGGATTGTGATTGTTATTGTTGACTTTCCAACAGGGTTATTACCGTTACTGTTCATGTACCCTGAAATTATTGCTGGTTCTTGATATTCATTGGAATGATTACTGTTATTGTTGATATTCTTTGCGCTAAACTAAATGCTTGTATTCTGGCTAGTAGTATTCTACTATTACTGCTAGTATTCTACTATTACTGCTAGTATTCTACGCTAGTATCTAACTATGCTACTGCTAGTATTCTACTTACTGCTAGTATTCTACTATTACTGCTAGTAATATACTATTACTACTGCTAGGGCTATATCTACCTATTACTGCTAAACTATTCTCTAGCTATGCTAGTGCTAGTATGCTAGTATTGCTACTATTAGTATTCTAGCTAGTATTCTACTATTATATTACTGCTAGTCATATCTAATTATAAGGATTTAAAGCTGATATCTACTTGTATTACCATTATTATTATTCATATATCCTCAAATTATTAGGTCATATTGATATCTTATTAACATTCTGAAACGAATTTATGGAACACGAGTATCTTTTTGATATATATATATATATATATATATATATATATATATATATATATATATAAAATATTTATATATATATACATATACACATATCTATATCTATATATATATACATATATATATATACATATTTATATATAACATATCTATATCTATATATATACATATATATATATATTTTTTTTTTCAAATGTAAATAATATTAAATAGATGTGAATTTTCAGGCTAAACAAGGTTCACTGGTACTCCCAGAGGAGCGCAAAGCCGAACCGTAAGAAAATGCCTTTTTCAAAAGATTTTCGTCGCTAAGAAACGAATTTCGCATTAAATTCTAGGGCATTCTATCCGCGTCCTTCTTATACTTTCTTTATAATTAAGGGCTAATTAGGGTATTAATTAGGGTAATTAGAGCGAGAGAAGTAAGGGGGAAAATATAGTCAAGCGATCACCATAAAGTGATTTCTCATTTAGTGATCAGTCGCCATGGAGGTCTACACGTATCAAACGCGCGGTGGTTAGCTAATTTCAAACTACAGGTGTTCCATTCGTCACGTCCCTAACCACGCAACCGATATCGATCCTAATTGGACTTGAGCAATTAGCCAGGTGTCACGAGCTCGTTACATCACCACTACCCCCCTAGAGAAAAAAAAATGAAAATAAAAAAAAATCACGCACACATAGGCCTTTCTTTCTCTCTCTCTCTCTCTCTCTGTCTCTGTCTCTGTCTCTGTCTCTCTCTCTCTCTCTCTCTCTCTCTCTCTCTCTCTCTCTCCTCTCTCTCGTCTCTCTCCTCGTCTCCATCTCTCTCTCTCTCTCTCTCTCTCTCTCTCTGCCTCTCTCTATCTCTCTCTTTCTCTTCTCTTCTCTCTCTCTGCTTCTCTCTCTCTCTCTCTCTCGATCTCTTTTTCCTCTCAAAAAAATAAAATATCTCTCATCTTCTCTCGTCTCTTATCTCGCTGTCTCTCTCTCTGTCTCTCTCTCTCTCTGCTCACTCTTTACATCCTCATCAAATACAATTAAAAAATAAATTAATTAATCAATTAATTAACCAACACACGAACACACACTCCTGAAATATTCTAAATATCTTCAATAATAATTCAAACTGAGTCTCGATTCCATATCACGTCCCTGGGAATAATAATAACATAAATAAATGAAGGAATGAACGAGAGACTTAGATAAACGAACGAAAAAAATAGAAATAGATGGAGAAGTGTCAAAGAAAAGATTTTAATGGTGATATCAAGGACAACAGCAACAAATAAATTATATCTGAGACCCTCCTTCTGGAATAAACAAACAATGGAATTACTGATATAATCTATATAATTAAAATATTAAATATACACACAAGGACAATGAGAGCGCATATTACTCTTCTTCTTTATTACAAATATAGACTACATGACACACGAGACCTAGTCCACATCTCTCACAGCATGGGGGACACGAACATATACAATATTTGTCTTTACTTTGTTCTTGGGGGGAAAAAATCAACAACAACAAAAAAAAGATGACAGCAAAAAAATATCTAGTCACAGTTTATATACATTCTTTGTATATTTTTTTCTCTGTCTCTCATGATTCAGTTTGT